GCAACAACAACTGAAGCCACAACAACTGAAGCAACAGCAACTGAAGCAGCAACTGAAGCAACAACAACTGTAGCAACAACAACTGAAGCCACAACAACACCAGCAACAACAACTGAAGCAACAACAACTGAAGCAACAACAACTGAAGAAACAATAACTGAAGCAACAACAACTGAAGCAATAACAACTGAAGCCATAACAACTGAAGCAACAACAACTGAAGCAACAACAACTGAAGCAACAACAACTGAAGCAACAACAACTGAAGCAACAACAGCTGAAGCAACAACAACTGAAGCAACAACAACTGAAGCAACAACAACTGAAGCATCAACAACTGAAGCAACAACTACTGAAGAAACAACAACTGAAGCAACAACAACTGAAGCAACAACAACAACAGAAGCAACAACAACTGAAGCAACAACAACTGAAGCAACAACAACTGAAGCAACAACAACTGAAGCATCAACAACTGAAGCAACAACCACTGAAGAAACAACAACTGAAGCAACAACAACTGAAGCAACAACAACAACAGAAGCAACAACAACTGAAGCAACAACAACTGAAGCAACAACAACTGAAGCAACAACAACTGAAGAAACAACAACTGAAGCAACAATAACTGAAGCAACAACAACTGAAGCCATAACAACTGAAGCAACAACAACTGAAGCCACAACAACTGAAGCAACAACAACTGAAGTAACAACAGCTGAAGCAACAACAGCTGAAACAACAACAACTGAAGCAACTACAACTGAAGCATCAACAACTGAAGCAACAACCACTGAAGAAACAACAACTGAAGCAACAACAACTGAAGCAACAACAACAGAAGCAACAACAACAACAACAACAGAAGCAACAACAACTGAAGCAACAACCACTGAACCAACAACAACTGAACCAACAACCACTGAACCAACAACAACTGAACCAACAACAACTGAACCAACAACAACTGAACCAACAACAACTGAACCAACAACAACTGAAGAAACAACAACTGAACCAACAACAACTGAAGCCACAACAACTGAAGCAACAACAACAGAAGCAACAACAACTGAACCAACAACAACTGAACCAACAACAACAGAACCAACAACAACTGAACCAACAACAACTGAACCAACAACCACAGAAGCAGCAACTACTGAAGCAACAACAACAGAAGCAACAACAACTGAAGCCACAACAACTGAAGCAACAACAACTAAAGCAACCACTACACCAGGAACAACAACTGAAGCAACAACAACAGAGGCAACAACAACTGAAGCAACAACAACTCCAGCCCCAAGTATGTTGTTTTTTTTTGTCTTTTCAAATAATGTTTACGGTTCGATTTTTAAAGAACTGCTTGTTATCTATCTTTTTTTAGTGAAATACTTTGGACAGATCATCTTAGCTATTGTATTCGTTGAAGATCTGCAAAACCCGGGGAGTGCAGAATATATTTCCCTCGTAAACACTTTAATTAACCTGGTGAGTGGAAAGTTCTGAATAGTTAAATGTTTTGACAATAGAGAGGTTAAGATACCCCGGTTCCGGTTTACGGGTACGAGTATCGCCATTTTGTTTAGCGAGTTTTGCTGATGTCAGCATTTTTACCCGTAATTTCAGCCCGTTTCCCCGCGGTAAACCAAGGTCTACACGTAAAAGACAAACGGGTACGGGTGTTTTCTGTTTACTATATGTGGGCCGTTTAAATAGTAAAAATTTTCAACATCTTACCCAAATAAATAATGCACATATGTTCGTCAAAGCTTTCAACAATTTATAGCGAACCTCAACAGTGAAAGTTACCATTCTCTGATCGGTTTTCACACACCGGAATATCTTGTATTTCTTAAGTTACAAGTCGTTCCCCGATTTACGGGTACGGGTACGTGTATACCACCCGTACCCATAAACCGGAACCGGGGTATCTTAACCTCTCTGATGACCGTTGAAATAGTTTCATATTTTTTTAGATTTCCCAATTGTATTCAAGCAACAATAACTTTGTTCGTGTCATAATAATTGGATTCAGGTACTACGACCATTTAAGGCTTTTTTTTATAAAATCTTGAGTCGTTTCGTGTTTATTGTTCGGCGTAGGTAGCTATAGCGATGAACAATAATCTTGTGAAATTTAGTGTTTGGAAACCAGTGGAGGTAGTATAGTGGTAGTATTTCTGCAGTAAGTTGGTGTTGTTCGTGTCTGAACTATCTGAAAACGATGTCTCAATCTGAGTGTCCAAGTAGTATTTTACAATACACTTGCAGTGATTTGTGTCTGACCTACCTGAAAAAGATATCCAGGTCCAGTGCGGATAATATTCTACAATAATCTGCCGTGGGTTGTGTCTGCTCTACCTAAAAACATATCTCAAACGTGGAAGTCTAGTGCAGGTCGTATTCAGCGATATGTTTTCCTGGATTATGTCCGAACTACCTTGTAGTTATAGTTTCGACCAAACCGCATGGTAGCCCATTGAACATCTCTAGGTGATGTTATAATCCATCATGTTTTTGTTTTGTTTGTGTGCCACAGACCAGGAAGTGTTTTCGTTAATTTTACCATGGAGTTCCAATCACCAACCGACTCACCTCTAACAGAACTGGAGCAAGGCACATCTACTGGAAAACTTGGTGATTATCCAGTGGTACCAAACAGTGTTGGTCTTCAAGGCGAAGGTATGGTATCACCTTCTACTATGATGTAGTGTAAAGATAGAGGCTAATTATAGGTTGTTATTTGCTATACTACTACATTTTTTAAAATTCTATTCATTTTTTAAAATTCTATTTATTTGTGACCAAGATACAACAGTTGACCACCATCTACTGCATCATAGTGCTTAGTTAACCTAACTCGGAGTGAAAATATTCAATGACCTGCATTGTCGAGGCTTGCCTGTATGGTCATGAGCACTGGTGAAAACTACCAATAAGCACAACTTATGTAGCTTTGTCTCTTCCATTCTAGCAATGACATGTCAGTCTAATCCGTGCCATGCAAATGCCACGTGTACTGATACCGATGTGTTCTACACATGCACGTGTCGATCAGGATATGTCGGTAACGGTTCGCACTGCCAAGGTATGGGGAAAGCCTATTAGGCAATTCCAGCTATAGACTACATTTTGATCTAGGCAAGAGGAACAAAATCCATCATCACAGCTAGAAAGGGCATGTTAAAATTAGTAAAATCGCAAAGTTTGGTTGCGAAATGTTGTAAAATGCGGAAAATATAGCCCTGCGAAATTTGCAAATTTTGTATTAATTTGTATTACGCGCGGGAAAATGCACCACTTTCGGCCCAAGCTAGATAATTCAGTAGTCATTTGAATGATTCTCTTCAGCAATCAAGTGTGATTCAAGTCCCTGCGATGAAAATGCCATTTGTGAAAACACTGCGTCTTCATATACTTGCTCTTGTCGCTCTGGCTTTACTGGGAATGGTCACATGTGTCAAGGTATGAACGTTAAGTTAATCAAAATATATTTTGTAATTTGTTAGTTTTTTAATATTCGACGACCCTTATTGGTCCTCGATGAGTAGAACATGCATTTAGTCTTGGAAGAGTATATCCAGCCCATTTAGCTTAGTTTATATAGAACTATACACTACAAAATATGAAGTGTTTTAAGTTATTCATCCTGTTTTTTGTCATTGAGACGTATCTTTTATTTCATCTCTCTTACTCTAGCTGTGAAATGTAGTTCATTCCCATGTCATTCCAAGGCCATATGTCAAGATACGGAAACTTCACATACATGCACTTGTGGATCTGGCTACAGCGGAGACGGCACGGAAAATTGTTTTGGTGAGTAATATTATAAACGTGTTGTTAATGGAGTCAAATCACTTGATGAAAAATCAATTTTTGGAAATCTAGTGTCCGTCTATGATGGTTTGTTTCTATAGTATCAACTATGTATTCTTTGCCAATTTCTTACGTTGCTTTGTAGATGTTGACGAGTGCCTGGAGGATCCTGGTAATTGTAAAGCAGGAGATAAATGTCAGAACACCGCTGGTTCTTATACCTGCAGACCAGGTAAAATAACAAAATTCTCCAACTCAATGCGCTGATCTGCGTCAGACTTATGCGGACTTTAGTAATTAAATCCTGGTTGCAAATTGCAATAACATTGTTGCTCGTAGTACTGTTGCATAGTTGATATATGAAACGCAGTCTCAAAAATTATTCTGTTTTTTTTTCTCGCTTTTTATCTCAAGGTGTGGGATATCGTGTTCGGTTGAGAATCGTCGCCATATTTACAATAGATTTGTATGACAGATATAGTGTGACGTTCATACTCTATCGAATCAGACTAAGAAGTGCGGTGAGTCGTCGTTTTGTATATTTTGCAGATTGCATCAAAAACAGAAACATAATTGATGAAATTTAATGCGTTCAAAATTATTACAAATCATCCATTTTCAAATCTATAAACTACAACCTGCCATATATATTTCTGACAGCTAGAAAAGACAGCTAGAATTTTCTTCCATCTTAATTTTCTTCCAGTAAAACGTCTACAAAAAGCGCAGGTTTCTTCTGGTTTCTTCCTGAAGTAACACCGAACCAAGAAGGTTTACATCCCTATGATCAAACCATAACTCTTGTAGCATCCTTCACCGTTTGGACGCATATATTTTTATCCCCCTCATATTTTTTTATAGTGTAACAGAGCCTATAGTAATAATCCGCGATATATTGGTATCATTGTCCACGGCTTCAGGTAAATACAGCTTTGCATCTTTTATTCAGCTTGCCAACCAGCCAGATGCCGTTAGATTGCCTGGTACCAATATGATTAGATTGATTGGTTGCAGATAGATTGTAACGGTACCAATATGGCTTGCAGCAGACCTGTAAGCCATGCGGACAGATGTAGGTCGATCAGCCTGCTAGCCAGCCATGCAGCCAGGTATCGGTTGGTTGGTTATCAACCTATCTGTCCATGCATATATTATTTATTTATTTATGTATTTATTTATTTATTTATTCAGTCCTGGCAGCGTTAATGCAAATGTGACAGTACTTTTCAAGGAGCCAACAACAGCACCACTAGAAGAGATCGAACAAGCTGTTTCAAATGGAACGTTTGGGGATCTTAATGTGTCTTCAGTCGTTCCCTTGCCTTCAGGTAAATTTTAACTATTGTTTTCAGGCAGTTGGTTGGTCGGTTGTTTAGTCATTCACTTGGTCAGTCGATCAGTTGGTTGGACGATCTGTCATTCACCCCAGACGGTCGGTCGGTCGGTCGGTCGGTCGGTCGGTCGGTCATTTGGTCAGTCGGTCGGGGAATCAGTCCGCAGTTGGTTGGTAACTCAGTTAGTCAGTTTAGTCCACCAGTCATTTGCCAATTGCAATCATTATAAATCAACTGAGTACTTTTTATTTTTTTCTTAGATGACGATTCAAGCTTTTTTGGTAGGTCCATTTTAAGAATATTTTTTGTTCTTTCTGGTTACGTTGGATGTTGAGTGAAATATGCAATGAATTTGTTGTTTTTTTAAATAGTTTTGAAAGAAGATGTGAAAACGGTGAAATATTTAATACAGGCAGTCATGATTGTTCTTGCAGTGTCGATCCTTATTGCGACCTGTTTGTTGATTGCAGCATTGGTCAATATGTAAGTAAACGTTTTCGACCAAATCTTTGATCATCTGAGTTGCCAAATTCCCAAGGAAATATGTCCGCCTGGGGAACGAGACCACTGGTGTTCGCCCCCCCCCCTAGTTTCCTGATCAGTGAGGCCAAATTGCCTAGGAAACAGGGAAAACGAGGGGGGGGGGAGAGAAAGTTTAAGGGGGACCAAATTGGTACAATGAAACTAACGTGAATTAAAACATTCCTCCTTAGATACACTACACCAAAAACACCACCACGATCATGGAGAAAAGATCCTTATAGTATGTATAATACAATAACTACACCGTCTCGACCCGGAGACAGATCAAACATAATGAGGTACTATTATTACGAACGAGATGCTATTTTTAATGATTAAAACACCGATAATATTTATGAACCATGCACAGTCATACCTCTGTAATACTTAAGCAAGCTGGCATTGCTTAATATATTATTATGCATGTTTTTGTATTTCTTATAATTTTCTATATTTTATATTTTTTAAATAATATGCAAACATATAGTCGTGATAATTACACTACCATATACCACACTTCTCTATTTTTATAATATAATAATGCCGTCATTCAGCTATTGACAGCTAATATATATTTGTATCAATTCGTGCAAGTATAATTTTAATGCAAATATTGCTATGTATAATCACTGATCAAATCAGTGTGTATAATATGTATTTATCTAATGTAATTGAAAAGAAATTAAATTTCACACCAAATACGACATATTGGCGGATTTGTTAGAAATCACGAGGAATATAGCCTACCTCGTATAATTTGGAAAGTTTTAAATCGTTATTTATTTTTGCGGTTGTCAACGTCGAGAGAAACTTTACCCATAGTTATTTCTCGCGTCTTCTTCGCACAAAGTAGTTGTACCACAGAGTAAGGAGCTGAATTCAGTCCTTACTCTATGGTGGTACCATGAACTAGTCCCTGCAAACCACACGCTACCAGGCGGCTGTATATTTTATATTCAGTTGTATGTGCATGGTGTGTAATTGAAAGTTTCGCTCACTTTTGCTCCTCAGTATCTCGAGATCCTAGTATTTTTATATCTACTTTTAAACATTAATAATTCATAAGCTTATTGGCAAATCATGTCAACCATAATATGTCACGTGAAGAGGCTTTATACCTGATAAACTCATCTTCATTAGTATGCTTTAATAAAAATCCATCTTAATTAATATCTTTACATAATAGAATACTAATGAGACGGCATCTATTGTAGTCGTGTGTTTTATCATATCCAAAATGCTCGTGCTGTGCACTCGCATTTTAAATATGATAAAACTCTCCTAGATGTGTTTTAAATAGTACTTAGTGGGCTCATGCTGCCATCGTAACTCCATGATATATAACCATATACGGTAACGGTACCAATCCAGTTATACACGAGAAGTAAAACGTTTGAGATGAGTCTGATTGGCGGACCATTTTGTCTGTTTGTTGCTTCTGATCCAGGATTGAATTCCTTCTTCCGCTCCACCCCATACGGGGGCGGAGGACAACGAAATTCCTCCAAGCTGGGTTTGTTGTGCGTTGGCGTGATCGCATTCGATTCCTGTGCCAAAAAAGACAAATTTCATTTCAGGCTGCTACATTTTCTCTCCATTTTTTGTCAAAATGGGACATTTAGTTTGCTTCCTTCCTAATTTTTTTTTTCATTTTTTAACGGTTTTTGCAAGCTTGATAAAAATTGCTTCAGCTCGGTCGTGAGCTCCTGTGCGGCTCTTGCAGTTACAGATAATTGCTGCATAATGGTCTTGAAAACCTTTGACGTCCTTAAAGTTATTGAATTGAATGCATGCGCACTTGAAATTATTGAATGGAATGCATAGCTTACTGATTACTGTTCATACTTCGGACTATAGTCACACGCAATAAAACATAATCAAGATAGAATCGGCATTCGAACACTGCCGTAGCTTTTTATAGCAGGCTAACCACACAGGTAAGATATAACTGAAGTATGTTTCCTTGTTGTTCAAACTAGATGACGTTTCGTTAGGGTATACGTTTATTTAATTATAGTTCTATTGGTCTGTGTTGTCCTGCAATGGAATTTACTTCGAGTCTAGTAATGGTATCTTAAAACACTATTTAGAAATTTGTAAGGGTCTAGACATATTTGTCACTGATATTGGCAAGCTTTGATTCAGTTATTTACTAACAAATGTCCAAATATGAAATGTATTAAGATTACTTTATAAGTTTCGTTGTAAAATATAGTCAACCAACGAAATAACCACAGAGTGATACGGCGAAGACGGATGGTAACGCAGACTGGGCGATTTTCCCAATATACACACACGGACAAATCCAGACAGATTACGTATAAAAAAATGCAATCGTCCAAGTTTACTTAAACATAAAGATGTCTTTGTCTGGGGAAGGGCTTTCGCTCGAAACGTCGATACTATACTTGACTAATTTCATGTTGTTGTATGTCCTTACATCGCAGTTGCCTTTGTCAAATAGGCTCCTGTCAGAAAATATTGGTTATTTCCTGCTTTGAATTCACCCTTGCCCAGTATTTATTTTGGTATATAAAATGCTCAGAGTTGTTTTATTATTATCATACAGTAAATTCTTTTGTCAACCTTAAGTGGAATCATTGAATATAAAATCATTAATGTTTTTTTAGATGCTGGTCTTTCTGATTCTTTTTCTAGTCTCGACTTCATTTGAACAAGGTAAGAGAGAATATGAACCGATATACCTGATGTTTTGTAAATTGGAAGCTTTATTTACCCTCAGCTCTTATAATATTTATTAAGGATCTTCATTAAGAAACAGCAGGAAAGGAATTCTTCCTTTTCAAATTGATCACTATTCGACGACAAAACACTGTTTGCTACAGTAATACATTATATGCGGACCTATACATTTCTCTAAAAGGTTGGAAATCTTTTTGACCTAAAGTATATCAACGCAACTATTTTTCTTGATAAACTACACTGAGGGGTCGGTTGTTCAAAGCTGGGTTAACACTAACCCTCGGTTAAAATTTAACCTGCTGTTTCAGTAATTCAGTTTATGTATTTCTGCACGTTTGTTTATTATGGAAACTCCTACTGATTCGGACAAGATCTCTGAAGAAATATTTCAAAATTTATAAACAAGTTCTTGCGAAGTTTGCTTTGAATTTTAAGGCAACCTAGGGTTAAGCTAACTCAGCTTTGAACCACCATGCAGCCCCAGGTATAAAAGCCTGGTTCAAACTGGCAATTTTGTCGGCGAATTTGTGACGGATGCAAATAAGTGAACTCGCACACAAAAGTATAGAGTCGCTTTTCAGAAGTAAACAATTCTAAGCCTTTTGTATGCCATTCATCCGATCACATTTGTGGAGAAAAATCGCCGGCAGAATTTCTAGTGTGAACCAGGCATTGTGCTCGGGCAGGTATGTGCCTGTCGCATGACATCATTTCGTGAATTTGATTGATACATTTTCATGTCACGCAGTCACGAAAAATAAGTGGTTAGGAGGTTAGGGATTGGGATTGGATTAGGTTTCGTGATTGCGTGACATGAAAAGATAACCGAACTCCTGCAATACATGCATTCCTGCACGTTGAACTTTCAAGCGCAGCGACCCAGTTGCGTTGGCGTTGCTTATGGCAACCAAAGTCAAGTTCTTTTATTCTAGAATTTTCTACCTTTCGAATCTAAATGGTATGTTGGTGCAAATGGAAAGCAACCTAGCAACCGATCTCCAGGGAGAATAATCTGGAATCGAAAGAGCTATCAGGAATAAATCAAGTTAGCTTAGTCCACGTTTCTTCCTCCTATATGGCGTAGCCTGTGAACAGGCCCTTCTGGGTTACCTCGCAGGCTATGCCATATAGGGAGGAAGAAACCTGAACTATAACCTAACTTGATTTAATACCTGGTAGCTCTTTCGGTTCCAAATTGTTCTCCCTGGAGATCGATGTCCATTGTTATTACACGCGAGGAAACCTAAACTAATCTGAGTTTATTTATGCTTAATAGCTCTATCAGTTCTACACTATTCTTCGTAAAGGTCCAGTAAGGATAATCTCTTATTGATCCAGTGTTACTACAGGAGGAAACCTAAACTAAACTAACTTTATTTATACTGGATAGCTCTATCAGTTCT